TTTCCCTTTCCCATTACTTAGTCTCCTTGAAGAAAGCTGATGGAATTCAAGTGTTGGTCATGGAGGAAAAACTTTTAACCATCCATGCTATCTATTAAAATAATAGAAGGGGAATAGTATTGTAGGACCTTATCTGTAGGTGTTGACCCTTACGGAATAAGGGATAGGACGAGGAACAATAGGCATAAACTGCAGCACAGGAAGTTCCACCTCAACATGAGGAAAAACTTCTTTACTGTGAGGGTGACGGAGCACTGGAACAGGCTGCCCAGAGAGGTTGTGGAGTCTCCTTCTCTGGAGACCTTCAAAACCCGACTGGACGCGTTTCTGTGCAGCCTGCCCTAGGTGATCCTGCTTTGGCAGAGGGGTTGGACCAGATGATCTTCAGAGGTCCCTTCCAACCCCTACCATTCTGTGTAATTCTGTGTATGTGAATAAGAAAGGTAAAGGAGGGTGAGTTTAAAACTTTGTGAAATCTTGATGTGGATCCTTCTTTATAGCCATGATCTGGGTCTCTTTTTCCCTCTCAAGTACTATCTGCAGCTGTGGCAGCATAGGCAACACAGAGGCAGCATGCTGTAGCTCCTGGGGTTGTGTCCTTCACTGCGACTGCTGAATTAACAGCCCATGACGCAAGACATCATGTGAGACCCTTAGAGAGCTGGGGTTTTATAAAGGCAGTTCCCTAGTCCTCTTGGCTGTGAAGCAGTTGTCCTGCATGTGTACTGAAAAGGCTATGAACCAATGACAATGAAAAGAACCCAAAATGGATGACCTAGGAGAAAAAAATCTCTGTTGTTTTTCCAACTGATCTCACTTGGCTTTTTTCTTTTTCATTCCTTGAATGATGATGTTTCTTCTGCAGTAATATGTTAAAGGGATTGTACTGTGAAAGCGACCAGTACATCTCTCTACCTACAGCCATAACTGTTCACACTTACGCATGCCAAGGGACAGACATGAGTTTTGGTCAGTGCTGTGGTATAAAACATGAAGCAGCAAATTAGCACAGATAATCACTGGCACTGAGATCAAGGTGACTGCAGAGATCTTAACCTCTTGAGAGTTATTCCTTAGCAACCCACAAACCTGTGTTAGGGAGACTGCAGGAAATCACTCGCGCAGTGTTGAATACCAAATAGCAAGTTGGAAGCAGAGAAAGGCTTAAACCAGCCTGTGAACTGGTGGAGTCAGCAATTTCCTAACGGCATTGTGAGCAGGCAGATTACGTACCCACAAACATATGCCATCTCCGCAATATTAACAGCAGAACTGTGTGCATGATGCT